CTCAGACAGGTAGGGAGCCATTTCACCATAATTCATCATAACTTATTGTGTACTTTGATATCGTGAAAGGGAATCGTTGATGCAAGGAGGTGTTAGGACTTCACATTTTCTTAAAGAGTGAAGGAATTACAAGTTGAGGTAGATATTTCTTGTTTGTGAATATGATTTACTCCGTGTTTGGTTTAGTGTTAAAATTGTTTCATATCGCAAACGAGCTCCATATTGTTGTTGTAATACTAGAAAGAAAATAGATATGTTAAAATAACCGTGCATAAACATTCTATACAGGTTACAGGAAGATGTGACTCTAGGAAAAAAATTGCCGAGCTAAAGAGACGGCAACAGCATACTTAAGTTGCCGAGTCGTCTTTCTAACGCGTGTAGGTGCTCGACCCCGGTTTGCAGATTCCTTACGTTTTGAATCGTATTTTCCTTCTCTTTTAGCTGTTTTGAGCGCTCTACACTTCTCTTTCATGACCATAATGATAGTTACTATGATAATGATAGTATGGAAGACGATAGCGATAATCATAATTCTTATTAACGTTAAGGCGGTGAGAATGATGATTCATATGACAAAAAGAGGAAGTGATATTCATGGCATAATGTCTTTTGTTTTTGTTGCCGTTTTGTACCATTCTTCTTATATTACTATTATCATTGTTGTTGTTTTTATTATTGTTATTATTATCATTATCATTATTATTATTATATTATTATTATCATTATTATTATCATTATTCATTGTATTATTATTATTATTTATTATTATATTATTGTTATTATTATTGTTGTTATTATTATCACCATCATCATCATTATTATCATAATCATAATCATCGTCTTCATCATCATCATTCATCCTCACCATCGTTATTATTATTGTTGCTGTGGGTATTGTTATCATTAGTATTGGTATCACTATTACTACTACTATCATCATCATCGTCCTATTCCTCCTCCTTTCCCTCATCACAATCATGATACTTATCACCGATACCCTTCATATCATTAATACCATTGTTATTATTATTATTATCGCCGTTGTTGTTATTCTGATTGTCATTAATTTTGTGTTGTTATAGATTTTGATTATCATCGTTAATAACTTTAGTATTATCATTTATTATTCTTACTAATACTTCTATGATCATTATTACTATTAATGCAATTGGTTTATTGTTCTTGTTTGTTTCTTATCATCATCATCATTATATAACACATGATCATGGAGTAATAACTGCATTGGTAATCATCATTTGTTTAGTAGTAACAGCGAGTCCTGGTAGCAGCAGTTGCTTCATTATCGCCACGTGATTAACCCCATCAGTATTGACATAAACGATAATTGTTATGTAATATTGCTTTAGTTATTGATTGTGCTGGCATTGTTCATGAGTATTCCTACCCTTTCAATGGCACAGATACCCCGACTACCTGCAACTCGGAAAAAGGAGAGAGAAATACAAAGAAGAAACAGAGAGGAGCGAAAAGAACGCAAAAGAAAAGAGGGAAAATGCAGCAATCGATGACGCTTTTGCTCTGCCTCTTCCTGGCATCAGCAACACACAGCGCGAGACTCCGAAAGCGCCAAGCTGAAACCACGGTCGACACTTCACACATTTCCGACAACCAATTACTCTCTCTCTTCCAAGTTTCCCTTAATGAAGATTCTACCCCTAATCCGCCTAATCCTTCTCCACCGGGATTTTCCCCGGGTGTGTCCTCCCCTCCCGCTGTTTCACCCACCGATCCGGATGCTACTATCACTGGGGGATGTACGTGTGTTAAGGAGTGGGAGTGTGCGGATAACGACGTAGGTGAGTCATAACTTTTGTGCTGTTGTGGATACTCGAACAGGGATATTGATTGTTATATTACAAATTGTAGTGCAGATATTGAGATCAATAATAGTAGCAGGAGTAATGATGGCAATGATAATGATATATGGGAGATATATGGCTTAATATTACCCTTTGGTCTCCGACAGAGCCCCTCGAAGGACCTCAGAAGGAGAGCCTTGTGGGTGATCCAAGATTTGACATTGTGGGAGTCGTCGATCTCAAATTCAACGGAATGTGTCCCGACTTAGAGGACGTGTGTTGCCTCTCGCCCATCCCCACAGCCGTCCCGACCCCCACACCCAGACCCCACACCCCGAGATGTGGGACGATTAATACAAATGGAGTCATCCTGAATTTCCAGGGATTTCCGGTGAGATAATTAGCGGTTGTGTAAGGTGGGAGGGAAAAAGAAGAAAGAGAGAGAGAGGGAAAAAAGTTGAGGACATTATGAGTCAAAAAGCAGAGGACTTGCACATATTGTTATGTATCACGGGAGTTTGTTTGAACCCTAGATTAAGCGGCACAAAAGAGAATATTATACGTAATAGAAAGTTCAAGTAGCTTCTAAAACAGACCTTTCACGTAGTGCTTCCCAAGATGTTTATAATCTGCTTTCGGAATTTGCTATATAACATCTCGTCCCCCGTACTCACTCG